CACACACGCGCATGCCAGTGCACATGCTCGGACAGTAGAGAAACACACACACGCGCATGCCAGTTTTATTAAGTATACAGATACAGATTAATAAGGTGTGATTCTCGGGTGTTTGATAGGCTGAGTCAAGAACAAATAGACCCGAAACAACTACTATTCCTATCGCCCCACATTCGCAGTTTACCACTCGGAGCAGGCAATCCCTATCGCCTAGGTAGGTTGTTCGAGGAAGTGGAGCATCCAAATAGATAGTGGGCCACACGTTTGGGGAGTCCCTAATCAATGTACTGTCCTGGCTGTGTGACGAGTATATAAGACTTTTTCGGCTTTGCCCAACAAATAACAGAGTTTCAATTAAAAGTATATATGACAAACGCGTACTTCAAGTGGTCACCAGGCCAAAGCACAGATAGGGCTGGGTTGACACCACAGTGTGTGGCTGGTGCAGAGAACAGACTTAAGTAAGCATGTGCTACTCACATTGGAAGATCTGTCGTTCGTTCGACTAAATAAAAAAAAGATTTTTAGCTGATCGAAGTCGAGATGGAAGTAAAGTAAAAAAAAAGAAAACTCAAGTCACCTTCTCTGTGGTCGCAAGGTTGGGTTCCAGAAGACGCTGAGCAGAAAACCAGGGCGCAATGAGTTTGATGCGCTCCTGAAGGGGTCGGGAGGCGCAGCTGCGGATATTTGGGAGGAAGTTGAATTGCGGTGCACCGCCAGAGGCGAGGTGGACGTGACGACGGGCAAAACGGATAACGTGATTTAGGCCCGAAGACCAGAGAGCTTGTAGGACTTCACAACAGCGCGTCAGCAGCGGTAAGGTTGAGAGGCAGAGAGAACAGGATGCCTCTACCCGGGAAGAGTCCTCAGCTTCACTTGCGGATGATCTCCGCGTATCTGCTGACAAAGAAGATAATGGAAGAGATCAGAAGACAAAGAAACTTAGGTCCTCTCTTGCATAGGACTGAATAATTTATGTTACGTCTGTGTTTTAAGGCATTTAGACGATAATGAATTAAGCATAAAATGCATTATGCGGGCATGGTGTCGGATAGAAATCACTGT